TAAGGCCCTTACCCAATTTACTACCCTTTTTAGTTTTTTTTTAAGTTTTTGATAATTCATTTTATTGCACTCATTCATTAGATTGAGACAATAATATATTTTTTAATCCTTACTTATTTTTAAAAGTTAAATTATTCAAATATATTTGGTAAATTAAGGTTTTTATTGTTTGTTATATTTTTTAGATATTTTTAGTTGCCATTTTATTATTGGAACTAATGAAATTTCGTGAAATTTTTTATTTAAAGTATTGAATTCTAATTAAAAAAAAAAAAAAGGGCGGGGCACCCATTATCCATCCCCGCCCTAGGGCAAAGTTACCAGCCCCGTCCCTGCCCCGAATACCCGTTTAAGTGGGTAATCCCCTCCCCATTCGAGGCGGGGTCCCGCGGGTTTCGATTTTTTGCCATCCCTAGATACGGCTAGAAATGATCCAAAATTTAGTACGTGGATACGACTTATAAATTTAAAATTACTTAGAAATTATATTAATGCATGTTTTAGGGATATATAAAAATGCAAATTTACAACAAATAAAGTTGCAAATTGATAATACAATTTCAATGCTAGAAATGCGAATTATATATTAGAAATCGTTTTAATACATTATCAAAGTAACAAAAACGATATAAAGATCCTCTTTTGATTTATAAGAAGGATCTCATACCCTTATCCTTGTCATGTGTGTTTGACACAGGTACTTCATCTAAAGTGAAGAGTCCAAGCAACATAGTCCATGTCTAGACCTAGACCTCGAATCTTCAACGGAAAGAAAATGGTCACATCTGGTTGATCAAGGTAAAAATTGACAGTACAAATAAATTGGGCGTAGTCTTTTCTTAAATCAATCATTTCCTACAAGCATGAAGCAATTGTTGTTTTTGTCCTCCTCTTTTAATTTAAATAGATTTGTGAACTGATAACAAACAGGTTTCACTTTTTTTATGGATTCAAAGGTTTCATCATCAAATACCATCAGCATTTTGTTTAAACTAGAAGTTCCTATGGATTTTGTTGCATATCCAGCATTTGGTTTAAATTAGGGATTGTGGATAAGTAGATTAAAGTTGCATTTGGATGGATCAGTTTAGTTCGAGGGTGGAGTTCACTTGGGTAGCAAGGGAGAAAGTATTTCAAATTCCTCGTTTGCAGGCAATAAAGCCATGGACTTATAGAACCACTACAATTTTTATTCATCAATAAAATTTGCAATTGATTTCAAAATCTATTGGCACAGGCACAGCATCCTATTGAGTTCAATATTCATAAACAGAACTTGAACACAAGTCAGGTTATTAAGCACCTGTTTGGCCCCCATTTCACAAAACTCATTTTTTTCAAACTCATTTTTCGAGAACATATTTCATGGAACTCACAACTTTTGTCAATTTTTCTATCACGCATTTCATCAACTTTTATCAAAATCTACTAAAAATCTATTTATTAACAAAACCAAACAGGGAAAAATAGGTTTAAAACCCTGAGGGGTTGCTCAATTGGTCAGGCCTTGGGTTTGCTCCCCAATGGTCACCAGTTCGAGTCCCTTCAGGGCCACTGAGGTGAGTACCCGACCGTAAACTTCAGGG